AGTCTCTAGCTTATGGCATGCTTGGACCACGTGTGTAGCTGTGTCATTGTTTAGCAGCCTGCCATGCTCTGCCGACCTTTGGACTTACAATGGACTTAAATCAATGGCCTGCTGTATGGTTTGGTAACATCGAGACTGTGCCATTTTATTTGCTGACCTTGGGCTTGTCAGCCTCAGCAGCCAGCAGCTGAGTGAAGAAAAGGCTCTAGCTTCAGTGAGCTGGCAGAGCTGGAACCCAAGGTTGAGGGGCTTTCACCTGCCCTTAGAGCTTGGCACTTGGAACTCAGACTTCTAGCCTCTAAAAATTGTAAGAATAAACTCCTGTTTGTTAAAGCCATCCCATTTGTGGTATATTCCTGTCAGAGCAGCCCTAGGTAACTAGAACAGATGTTTACTTATGTTTTATTGGCTATGCAAAATCATTCAGTTATGTGGATCATAACAAATTGTGGATAACATTGAGAAGGATGGGAATTCCAGAACACTTAATTGTACTCATGAGGAACCTGTACATAGACCAGGAGGCTGTCGTTCAAACAGAACAAGGGGACACTGCATGGTTTAAAATCAAGAAGGGAATGTGTCAAGGTTATATCCTTTCACCATACTTACTCAGTCCATATGCTGAACAAATAAGCCGAGAAGCTGGACTATATGAAGAAGAACGTGGCATCAAGATTGGAGGAAGAATCATTCACAACCTGCAATATGCTGACAACACAACTTTGCTTGCTGAAAGTGAAGATGACTTGAAGCACTTACTGATGAAGATTGAAGAATACTGTCTGCATTATGGATTACCAAACCAAAAAACCAAACTCATTGCCATCAAGTTGGATCCAACTGATAGTGACCCCTCCTTGGGTTTCTGAGGCAGTATCACTACAGAAGTAGATTGCCCAATTTTCCTTCCAAGGAGTGGCTGGCAGGTTTGAACCACCAGCCTTCTGGTTAGCGTCAAAGCCTTAGGCACTATGCCACCAGAGCTCCTGCAGTATGGATTACACCTCAATATAAAGAAAACAAAAATCCTCACAACTGGATGAGTAAAACAGCATCATGATAAATGGAGAAAACACTGAAGTTGTCAAGAACTTTGTTCTGGCTACCTAGTGCCGCTCTGACAAGAATATACCATAAATGGGAGCTTATTCTCTTACAGTTTGGAGGCTAGAAGTCTGAGTTCAAAGTGCCAGGCTCTAGGGGCTTGTGAAAGCCCCTTGACCTTGGGCTTCAGCTCTGCCTCTTACTCCTGGCCCACTGACGCTAGAGGCTTCTCTTCACTCTGGCAGATACTGGCTGCTGAGGCTAACAAGCCCAAGGTTGATAAATAAAATGGCACAGTCCTGATGTTACCAAACCACACAG